TTTTCGAGAGATGAGAGAGAAGATAGTAAAGTAACGAGATGAAGCCAGAACTACAGCAATCGATTTAGAATCAACACTCTCTACAGCAAACATCCATTCTTGTTTTTCACAACGAAACATTTCTTAAAGAGTTCATATACAAACTGGAACTATGAAGTGTGAGCGAAATATATTTGTACACTTAGTGATTTTTAATGCCTAAAGAATTCGGTAGTTCAATATCGATAGATCAAACTTTTCCTAAATACATCCTCTGCCGATCCCAAACAAATCCCTTCTTTAAGGTCAGGCGGTAGGCTTGCACTGAACACCTCCCTCCCTGTACAATCCTGATTACGTAATCGGATTGAATAGTCTCCTCCCTCCCCCCCCCCCCCATCAAGGACACCATTCGTCAAATTAAAAAAGCACCACCGCGGATATCGAATGCTCTCAAGTGAGGGCGCAACTCTGAACTTCGACATCCCAACAATCCAACACCAATTTAGTCAGAATAAATTGTAGTATGTAATAATTTTAATGGAAGTAGGCAGTGCGAAGAAAAGCAGATCAGTCCATAAATTTTTTTTTCAAATAATGGTATCATATGCAAATTCTCTAATTCTACAAAGGCGAGCTAAATCTAAAAATTCGTATAGTAAAAAAGAGGGTGAAAAAAAGTGTAGATACCCTCAAAACACACTTTTCTAATCTCAATTTAAATACAAATTTTCAACCGTCTAACGAGATAGTTGGAGGAATCTGTATCATTAGTGCAGCCTTCGGTGGAAGATAGGCGAGGGGGATGATCGCCCTCTTCCGAATTAAAATATAGAGCGGAGAGAATATCGCTTCGTCCTCCCATACACAATATTTTGAAGAACACAAATTAAAAAAAAAATCAATTCAACAATTAATTTACATGAATGAATAAAATATGTTAATTAAAATCAACACAAAAAAAAAAGGAAAAGTCGACAAGATGGCTAAGCTAAGGTCTAGAAGTAGCTACGCAAGTATTTTACCACGCCCTGTTGTTCCTATTAATGAAATTGTAGTTTATCCAAAGATAAATATAGCATTTCCAAGTCAATTTCAACCTTTTCCAAGTCAAATTCAACCTTTTCCAAATCAAATTAAACTTTTTCCAAGTCAAATTCAACCTTTTCCATTTCAAATTAAACCTTTTCCATTTCAAATTCAACCTTTTTTTATTTATTTAATTATCTTTAATTTTTCGATGCGTGGGTCTGTTATCGTATGAGTAGTTTTTGAAAATAACCTCCTTTTTAAGATTACGTGACTCCGTTTCGAATTATTTAAGTTTTTTTGACTTATTCGATATAAGGGTGTATTTTTATGTTTCCCGATCAGTAAATTTTTAAAATGACATCTATTTTATGTTTACGCCACAGTGTTTTGATTTATTTAAGTTTATAGAATTTATCCAATATAAAGGTCTACTTTTTTGTTTCCGGAGACGTAGATTTTGAAAACGACCTCCATTTTAAGATTAGGCCACCGCGTTTCGACTTATTTGAGTTTTTCGGATATTTTTCATATGAGGGTGTATTTTTATGTATCCGGAGCTGTAGATTTTGAAAATGACCTCCATTTTAAGATTAGGCCACCGCGTTTCGACTTATTTGAGTTTTTCGGATATTTTTCATATGAGGGTGAATTTTTATGTATCCGGAGCTGTAGATTTTGAAAATGACCTCCATTTTAAGATTAGGCCACCGCGTTTCGATTTATTTGAGTTTTTCGGATATTTTTCATATGAGGGTGAATTATTATGTTTCCGGAGCTGTAGATTTTGAAAATGACCTCCATTTTATGATTACGCCACTGCGTTTTGACTTATTTAAGTTTTTCGAATTTATCCAATTTAAATGTCTACTTTTATGTTTTCGGAACCGTAGATTCTGAAAATGACCTCCATTTTATGATTACGCAACTGCGTTTTAACTTATTTACATTTTTAGAATTTAACAAGTATAAAGGTCTAATTTTATGTTTCTGGAGCAGTAGATTTCCCCCATTTTGTAAATGACCCAATTTAAAGTTTATGCCACTGTTTTGGATTATAAAAGTTTTTTTTTTTACTTTTCGGTATAAGGATCTACTTATATGTTATCCGAGACGTATTGAAATTTTTCTAATCTTTAATATTTATATTTATCTAATATTTAAGCTACATTTTATGATTAAGCCGCTGCATCTTGATTAATTAGGCTTCATTTTGGATTTTTTCAATACAAAGTTTCATCAATATGTTTTCGAGTATGAATAAATAAATAAATATTATGAAGCTAAAGTAAAATTAACCACAGAATACAAACTAAAAAGCCGAAAAGCAAGTGGTAATAAATTTAACCTTCCGTATTCAGATTTTTCAGCTAATTGTTCGAAATCTTATAATTTTGTGACAGGAGAGCACAACATTAGAAAAGATAACTAAAATTAAATTAAAAATGAGACAATACATATTTTATTTATTTTGATTAGATATTTTTATTTATTTATTAAAAAATAAATTAATCCTTCGTATTATGTTTTTTATTCGAAGGAAAAATTAAAAACACTTAACAAAACCGAAACACAGTGGCCTAATCTTAAAATGTAAGTCGTTTTAAAAACTAAGGCTCCGGCATCATAAAAGTACACCTTCAAATTGGATAAATTCGAAAAACTTGAATAAGCCGAAACGCAGTGGCGTAATCTTAAAATGGAGGTCATTTTCAAAATCTACGACTCCGGAAACATAAGAATACACTCTTTTATGATAAAAATTCGAAACTCTTAAAGAAATCGAAATGCGGTGGCCTAATCTTAAAATGGAGGTCGTTTTCAAAATCTACGGCTCCGGAAACATAAGAATACATCCTCATATGAAAAAAATCCGAAAAACTCAAAGAAATTGAAATGCGGTGGCCTAATCTTAAAATGGAGGTCGTTTTCAAAATCTACGGCTCCGGAAACATAAGAATACATCCTCATATGAAAAAAATCCGAAAAACTCAAATAAGTCGAAACGCGGTGGCCTAATCTTAAAATGGAGGTCATTTTCAAAATCTACAGCTCCGGAAACATAAAAATACACCCTCATATGAAAAATATCCGAAAAACTCAAATAAGTCGAAACGCGGTGGCCTAATCTTAAAATGAAGGTCGTTTTCAAAATCTACGGCTCCGGAAACATAAAAGTAGACCTTTATATTGGATAAATTCTAAAAACTTAAATAAGTCAAAACACAGTGGCGTAAACATAAAATGGATGTCATTTTCAAAATTTACTGATCGGGAAACATAAAAATACACCCACATATCGAATTTGTCAAAAAAACTTAAATGATTCGAAACGCAGTCACGTAATCTTAAAATGGAGGTTATTTTCAAAACTAGGTACAGGACAGCATAATACTAGTCCCTAATAAATCCGAATAGGTACAATAAATCGATATCCGTAAGTGAAAATTCTACTTAGGAGAGCATAATAATAGACTTTCATATTGGAGGGGGGGAGGGGATGGCCATTATTTAAAAAAAAATATAAAATTTACAAAAACTTAAAACATTAATTTGAAATGAAAACGGTTGAATTTGAATTGGAAAAGGTTTAATTTGAAATGGAAATGGTTGAATTGACTTGGAAAAAGTTTGATTTGATCTGGAAAAGGTTGAATTTGACTTGGAAAAGGTTGAATTTGACTTGGAAATAATTGAATATCACATAGAAATATCACACTGAAAAAATCTAAAATGTTAAAATAAATGGATATGTAACTGCGTAATCAATTTTTTTTTTGTATTTTTTAAAAGCTATGCCGTCGATAATATAGTAAGTGGCCTTCATTTCGAAAAAAATCGAAAATTGACAAAAATTCTAAAGTTGAATTTGAAATGGAAAAGGTTGAATTTGACTTGGAAAAGGTTGAATTTGAAATGGAAAAGGTTTAATTTGACTTGGAAAAGGTTGAATTTGATTTGGAAAAGGTTGAAATTGACTTGGAAATGCTATACATTGTTTTGTTTATATTCTCTCTACACATACTTTAATACTATCTTATACGTTTTACAATGATTATGTCATGTAGTCAAGTATCACACATAATATTAACTCCACCCAGAATGAAATTTCTGTGCCTATGATCTGTATCACAGACTGATTTACGGGGAGGGAGAAGCTTTCGGGCTGAAGCCTCACCAAAAAACAATATAACCATGTTTTATAGAAAAAAAACTATTAAAAACTATCTCTTAAAGTATTATTGATGAAGTGATTACATTAAATAGGACTTCAAGAATCACTTAAACATCACGCCATATAGGTAGTTAGTTTCTTTAATTTTTTTTTTCAAACCAATTATCGTTATATATATGAAAAAAAAAAGCTTTCGGACTGAAGCTCCTACCCAAAAAAATAAATCCTGGATCCGCTAGTGTATATATAGATGTATAAGTGTGCAAAACTTAAACAGTGGAAAAACAGTTGGACGTACTGAATTATTTTTCTGGAACTTATTCTCATTTCTAAGAAATTGGTCTTCCTAGAAACCATCCTATACATTAGTCCGGTCACTTAAAAAATATTGGTGGGGAGGGTCAAGATTAAAACAACATACATAAAATTGCTGTGATCCGTGTGTTACTTATAATATAATGTAAATAAAAATCACTTATATAGTTTATTGAACTCTTTAGTGAGTTGTTAAGTAAATTACTGAAATATTGGAAAACTAGTGAAGCCCCCTTCATAAAATATTGGGGAAGGAAAGCAGAAAGTGGCTCGAACACCCTCTCCTTCCCCCGGCTTCAATGACCCTAAAAAGCTAATTTAAGCTCATTTGGCTTATCTATTGGTCTGTTGGAATGTTTACATCGTGCATGATGTGATTTGAAACAAACTTCATAAAAAATAAATAACAAGTGTATTAACAATTAATTTCAACAAGAGTTCAAACTACCCAGTAAAGTGACTACAAAAAAAGTAAATGAGGCTTAGCGAACTCGAGGTTTCGATGCCGATGCCTACAATCCTAATGAGAGTAGTATGGCGCACGTCGCACCACCAAAATATTTTCGGATGGGCGTATATTAACGAGGTTAGAATAATCGATTTAAACCTCTTGACTTCATAGAAAAGATTTCATTATAAGTCTTCACAACTTTATTGACCCATCCCAATGTTCGAAAGATGAACATATTACATCTGTGGCTACAAAAAGTATTTTTTGGAAATAAAAAATAAGTGAGTAGGCCGTTGATTGAAATCTACTTCATTCCCTCCAGTAAGCCAGGGAGTCACTTCTCAGCAAATGTCGCTGACTATTCCTTCATCCGCCACCGTGGGAAGCTCCGACATGGGGTAATGAACAATACAATAACGTGATAGTAGTTATTAACAAATATTGTAATTGATTTGAAAACGGGCAGTTAATCGAACTCTCTTCAAATCAAAAGTCCAATAAAAAAATTAATTTTTAACAAATACTAACTCTAATGAAATATATAGTAATAAATTCAGATATAAGGTTGATTAGAGCAAGGATTAGATGTCAATTCTCCCATATTTATTATTATGGTATATAGTAAGCATTGGTGGCAAGATTGTAACGTTCCGACGATTCTCTTTCAGTGTTGGTTGTCAGTAAGTTAAGTAGACTCCCATGCCATCCGGCCGTTTTAGATTTTCATGCTCTCATTTACGTCAACAAGTGTTATAATGGAACTTTCATTGATATCCTAACTTCATGAGGTTAGTTAGATCTATGGGGCCTTTCTGTACTTAACCGGCATCCATGTAATATATTAAGATATTTTAAACCGAACTAGAAACCGGAAGAAATTAGAGAGCACCAGATACAAAACAATTAGTGAGATTGTATAAAAATAGATTTACTAATTGTGAACGCTACGTAATACATGTTCCGATGAGGTAACCACAAATTTCCTTCTAAGAAGATAAGATAGACGTAGATAGTTCATTTTGCGGAGAGGTTAAGTATGGACGTTGGAACAGGCCGAAACCCAACAACAAAGAAGACTGATGAGATGGCGGTGTTTACCAACGGAGACAAACAATGCAATACCCCAAGCAGCGGTCCACAAGGACACCCCGGTATCCGGCCAGGCTTTGTCTTCCGCTCATAGCCACAGCTGCCAATCTCCTTATCGTCCACTTTCACCCTAGCACAACGTTACGCTACTATCATGGTGGCATAAACACCTCGGCTAATATGTTGGCATTGGGGAAAATCAGCAAAAAGAATTCATAATTAGTGGCATGCCATTAAAAATTGTTAACAAGTATTCTGACGGTATCAAAATAGTTTCTTCTAGGCGGTTATAGTTTCAACTAACTACATTAGACATATGAAATGTGTATTGTAGTACAACTTGAAATGGCTGCTTGTAACTAACAATTTAAGCTCAACCGAATCACGCCTTTTACCCTATATTAACAATGAAGTAGTTTAACCGCTTCGCATTACAAAACCGGTTTTCATTGTTAATGTAAAAGCGGCTAACGATTCTCGTTTCTTTTTATTTTATTTCAATATTTTCCTAAAAATATTCAATGACCTTAGTTTTACCACAGAAGTTAAACAATACAAAACCATAAAATAATAATTAAAAATCATTCCACCACTTCTCTTTTTTCCACCAAGGTGAATTAGTAACTCGTGAAATTGAAATTAGTTATTACTTCAATAAAATAAAAAAAAGACAGGTCAGTTATGTTAAATAAATTCAAAACCTTTTAAAGAACCCTAATCATCATAAAATAAAATAAAATGACATGTTAAAAATTTACATTAGAAACATGTTTAAAATTGTAATATCATTACTTCCTATATTTCATGTTTAAAATAATACATTATTAATGTTTTAGCCAGCCATTTTATACCATAAAATTTCCATGAGCTTAACAAATGTATAACTTTCTTGATTGGTCATAATAGATATATTCCATATCCTAAATATTTTAAGATGTTAGGCCATTTATAAGAAAAATTTCCATAATTAAGATATTAAAAAAACACAGAAAAAACAAAATTAATAATCATAATGCACTAAACATTTTTTTTTTCAGTGATCTATCTCTAAACATAAAAAATCAGTACAAATTTAAATTTTACCAAATTGTTGATGATTAAATAATATAAATATCACCGGCATTAATTAATTGATAAAAAATATTCATTGAAGGTAAACTAAACAAAAAGAAAATATAAGTTTGGAATAAAATTTGTTTGATATGTAATGGAAACTCCTATTCCCTCCCTGAAACAAATAAGGCCAAGTTTTTTCAACTTTAATTTAGACTACTAGAAAACAACTATGCGACATACTTGAAAACTAAAAATAATTCAAAATTGACTAAGAAACCGACACAGAATTAGCATTTAATAAAATATATCATTTTAATTTTTTTTTTAAAGAAAGTGACTTTATTGCATAAAAAAACAACTTAAATTTGAAGGACATTTTCATTGAAAGTTTGGTATATTTAGAAACAAATCAGAAAGAAATTCTTTGAGCATAAAAGTATTCTGTATTTCCTGAAAATAAAATATTTAGTTACGGAGTTTGCATTCTATGTTATGGAGGAATGTGCTGAAAATTCCACAAATGGATATGAATACCAAACAAAAACAAAAAACAAAATTCTTTTACATTTCAAAACATGAACATTAAAACCATTTATTATGAATCAGTCAACTTTGAAATTACAAAGTGCTATTTTCTGTGTCAGTCTACAACACTTAAAAAAAGGGTTGAGTAGAAAAAAAAAAGAAAAGAATAAAAACACAGTTCTTATTTTTAAGAAATTTATTTATCTGATACCACAATGGTCATATTAACAATTTTATAATTTTTAGATTTAATATACAAAATAAGTTTAATACATTTAAGATTTAGTAAAGGTTAATTTTTCTTGAGAGTAGGCGACATTCTTGTTCTTCTTCAAGCAAACCTGTACTTTATTGGTTTATTTTTTTTTTTAATTTATTAATAATTTGTTTGTTGGATTTATCATGCAGACAACAATCAGCAAACAACTTTTTAGATACAATTGTTAGGGATTTTGAAATAATTAATAGCAAATTATTATATCATGCATACATAATGTGGAAATAACAAAAATGTAAACTAAAGAATTCTAAGCACACTCATCCATAACATTGTTTGACCAGGATTATCAATTGCCAAAACTCCCTTTAAAGATAAAGTTGTTTTCATTTTAAGAACATCACATTAAGTAATAACTTTAAATGTAATGCAAATAATGTTGTTACAACCTAAGCAATATAAAAGTAAATAAATTTGCATATCAGGAATCAATGTATCATGCAGTACAATAATAAGTACTTACTATAGCTAAATTAAAAAGCTACAGAAAAATACTAGGTCTAGTCAAAATTAAATTAAAGTTAACTAATCCTTCTTTTAAACAGAATTGATTTTTTTATAATAAATAACACACAAACAAAGATATATAATGAAGGCAATTTGATCTTGAAATTTAGAGAATCTTTTATTTTTGGCAATTGATTAAAAACATTTAAAAATACTTAAATTGAACAGAAAAGGTATTTATGTACACCATTTAAACTGTAACTATACTAAACTTAATTAGAACATAAATTTTAAATAACAATGTAACTTATGTCTTATTTAGCATGTCTTTTTACCTGTATTACTCATTATGAAGACAGTTGCAAATAATTGAACCCTGAAGGGGTATGAAAAAAAGTTTCCCTAGTAATAAAACCTCTTCATAACCTGATAAATGAACAAATGAATTTATGTAGTCCACAGCATGTCTATATAAGGCATGGCATCCAAAGAAAGAACGAAATTCCAACTACACAGTTGCATGTTAATAGACACAACACTAATACCGAAAAGAGATAAAAAAAACTGTACTGTCAAAAGGATGAAATCGCGAAACAATACTGAGCTCTGTACGAAGGTTCTGCTAGGAGCGACTCCTGATGTAGAGGGCAGCACACGGCAAGCACGAAGTTCACTTGATCGCACTTCAGGGCATTTTAAAATTCTTTTAAACATTTGCATTAAATTTAACTTTTTATTCAGTAAATTAATATTCTACATGTAGTGTCATGAAAATTACGTTATTGAAACTAAATTAAGAATATCTATGACAACCAGAATTTCCTGTGTAAATCTAGATAAAGATGAAGGAGGGGGGGGGGAGGAGGAAGGAGAGCGGTTTCATTAAACTCTGAAATGAATTGAAGAATTGAACAATAAAATAATGTACTCAATAAATAGTACCGAATAAATGAATAATTTACCATCTAATAAAATATTTTGTAAAACTTATATTACCCTTACTTGAATAACTTAATGAAAATAACATTTTATAATTACATTTTTTTTTCTAAGTTACCGATATTTTTTTTTTAAGTTACGGGATCACATCATGACTTGTCTATTTAAGAACAGACAAGCAATCGGGATGTAATATTAAAGATTACAAATATCAATTCAGAAATAAACGTGGTGTAAGGATCTAGAATTACTTTGTTAATTACACTAAGGTTTATTTATAGCAACTCCAAAAACTGATCATAAGTTAAATGAAGAAGGGATATACTAGATTTCATTGAAAAATTAATTACCACATTTGCACAGTCTTTGATAATTAAAATTAAAAAATAATTTTTGAAATTTAAAATAAATGATTTTTAAGTTGATGAATAGGTTAGACAGGCTAGTCATGCAAATATTGAAGTACATTCTGAGGAATTCAATTAGTGCACTATTTTTTTCATTATAACCTAAAAAGCATTAATTTATGTTACAAAGAGATTTGATGCATACCTAGAATGTCTTTAAGTTTGTGTTGCTTTAAGTTAATATTTGTGTTAATAGGATGAGTAGATTTTTGTTTTGCATCTTACACAAAGGTGGAAAGATAATATTCTTCAACAGTTTAGAAATTGCTAGGACCATATATAATATTCAACAAACACTGCAACTGTATATTCATTCTCATGTAAGATTGTTCATTTTTTCACACAAGCAAAATGTTACATATAAAATATTAAAAAGTTTTGCAAACTATTCGAAGAAAACTTATCATTAAAATTAGCTTTGACAGTTAATTTCTTGTACATGATGATATTTCATTCATTAATTTAGATGTCTTTATGATACTTAATAGTAAACTAATTTTCTTAAAATACTAAAACTTAATGATCATTCACCAAGTTTAACCATCTGCATTTTTACATGTATAAAAAGAAAACTTACAATCTCCAGTTATTTATGAAATTTTTAAGCATTGAAGAAGTCAGATTCCAAAAATTAAATTCACACAAATGAGTGGAGAAATTTTTAGAAATTAAGACCTAAAAAGACTAATTTATCACAATAGTTTACAATAGTCTCTGCCTGTAATCAATTAAAATAAACATTTTGTGTTAATAAAATTTGTATAATTAATTATGTTGTCTGTATTTTCCTATCTCTATTATTTGTATTAATATCTATTATTAATAAATAAATAGTAATAATTATTTTTAGTGTGAAACGTCTTAAATCTGGTGAGAAAATAATGGTTATTATCATAAAAATCTATATATATATATATATATATATATATATATATATATATATATATATATATATAACTTCATATTGAAAAAATTCCTAAATAATAATAATAAAAAAAACTTATTACAAATAAATAGATAAACATGAATTAAATAGCTCACATTCTTAATTCTTTGAATGTTTTTTATTATTATTATTTTAATAGAATTTACAACTGTATTACATAGAGAATACAATAAGTAAATGGAAAATGGTAACATCTCTACAACATGAAGAGAAACTACCCATTGGTAGAACTCAAATTCTTTGAATGTAAATTCTTTTTATAGGTTTCAATCTATTGATTTTCTTCATTTGTTTATGTTGAGCTATTTAATTCATGTTTATATATTTATTAGTAATAATTTTTTTTTTTATTATTATTTAGGAGTTTCTTCAATATGAAGTTTTCCTCAACTAAACTCCTTCAGCAAGTCTCTCTATCTCTGCCGGTCCTTCATATCCTCTTTCAACACTCCCCTACCAGCCATATTTCTCCACCACTCCATCCTTCCATCCAACTTGGGATCTGTTCCTTTCCTTCTTCTATCCTCTGCCTCTCAA